TTCCAATTAAAATTGACATATGCTGATTGAAGCTGAAAATAAAATACTTCGGTATTATATATACACATTAAAAAAAAAAAAATTACAATTGTACATTTCAAAATTTGCCAAATCTTCTTTAAAATATATAAATAATTAATTACAATTACACATATCAGGCCTGAGAGCATTGGTAATAGTAAAACTAACACAAAGACAATTCTTTAATTTTAATATTATCTGTACATTTTATAATGACCTGAACTCTATACTGGTACCTTCCACTTTTCCCCCAATTAATTACCAACATTTTTAAATGCAGTGTCTCACTTGCTTTCTAATGTATAAAATATAAGTTCATTAGCATCACAGAAGTAAGTAAACTTTACCATACCTGGAAAGTGTACATGGGAAGAGCTTGCCCTACAGCACTATAAAATAATCCTTCACCTTGTGAAGTAACAAACAAAATTTCAGAAATTCCATCATCGTCTATGTCATACTGAGAATAAATAAAAAATTTAAAAATAAATGACCAAGGTAACCCTGCTATAATTTAATAATTAGAGCTAGGTTTCGTTAATTCAGGGTTTTACAATATTTTTATGCCTCCTACTCCTACTAGTTCTGCTACTAATGTGTCCCAATGCACATGTGGCTGCTATCAATGAACACATACCATGTGGTCTAACAGAAGCCTTGATTTTGTGAGAATAGCCATGGTTTTTTTAACAGCTAACAAAGTGGATATCATAAAATGTAATATTTATAACACCCTTTTCCCCCCATACTTCATAAAAATGTTGTAAATATAAAAATAACCATTTATGAGAAATTGAATATACACAATTTTAAGGAACTATGCCAGACCATGATATTTCCAAACAGGCTGTTAAAGTGGGAGTGTTATATAGGAGGATTCTACTGTTATAGTCATCTAAAATTTGTGTTAAGGTCCTTCTTATGGTTGTGTGATAATCTTTATGCACCGTTAGTGCATAAAAATAAATTTACAAAAACAAAATAAAATATAGTTTAAATATGTACAGAGAACCAGAACGGTCAGAATTTAAACAAAAATAGTGTTTCAGATGGCGGAGTGCCAGTATGTGCTTAAATGTTTCTGTCATACTGAACTCACCAGCAAAGGCGATGAATGAACAGATTTATCAAGGTTGTGCTGAGGCCACCCTGAATCATGAAGGTGTTTCCCTGTTTCCCCCTCAATCACAGCTAACGTCTCACCAAAAGGAGCTGCAACTATATCCAAGCCTCCATCCCCATCTATGTCAGTCAATAACGGAACAGCAGCAAATGGGAATGAGCTTATGTCTGTCTGCCAGAGTCTCCTTAGCGTATAAGGACATCTGATAAAAAATTCATTGAAAAAACATTTTAAAAATATTTATAAACTTATAAGCGACAGAGAAGGAACTTTGAAGAAGACAAGTCAGTTCTATTTACAAAATATATATTTTTTCAGATAATAAATTTTTTTTTACATGAATATCTTATAAAAAAAAATGCAGTGCATGTGCTCTTATGTGTTAAACATGTAATAATTGCTCTATGAAATCAACTCTTATTAAAAATGAAAAGTCTATGCAACTATTATCCTATACTATAATGTTCAAGTTTACTTAGCTACTGATTTATATTTACAGAAATTTTTCTTGAATGAGAGTTGCTAAATTTAAAAGTTTTCAGATTCAAGAACCTTTCCACTTTTTATTAATAAATATTAATCATTAAATTTCATTTGTCAAAATTAATATAACAATCCACAGTTACATATTTAATGATACTGATGAGCTAATTTTGGTTTTCTTTATTATGTCAATTACTACATAATTACTATATTAATTATTATAATACTAAAAATAAAACTATTTAAATTTGAATAAGAAGGTGCATTTCTGCAACAACTGTAATGTTGATGTCATGTAATGAAAATGTAGGTAGTAGATATTGTAAAGCAGCCATTCTATAATTCTATACTAATACTACAGAAGAGATACTCCTAATACTCCTATACTTTATACCATGACCACGAAATTTTGGATAGTAGAATTTTGCTTTCTTCAGTAATTTCAATTTCAGGTCTCTGAGGGGCCATCCATAATTTATGGCAATGGCCATAAATGATCCATGGTCCATAGTATAGGCCTAGTTATTATACTATAGTATGAAGTATGAATGACTAAGTTAAAGTATGCCATGCCCATAGCCCATGACCATGGTCCATAGTATTAGTATAATTATAATCCATACATAGACTGATTAATATGATTAGTAGTAAGTTTAGTAAGTAACTAGTAAACTAACAATACGACTTTTAAAAAAAGTTTTACCATCTACTTCTACAGGACAACACTCACAACACGTAACACGTTAATACTAATACTAATAATACAATGAAAAGACAATACTGATAAAATGACAACATTAATTTATTAATATTACTATTACAGTTACAGTAGTACAGTCAGTAACACTAGTGCCACTCGTCTCTAGAGTCCTAGTAAAAGACACTGACACTGACTCTGGCTCACTGACACTACTCACTACACTACTTACACTCACTGTCTACAGTCTACAGACTACAGTTACAGTCTACACTGACCTGCGTTGAATATGAGCAGACTGTTGTTTGGACAAAATTCCTTCCTCTGCAAGACATGGATCACAGACTATAAGAGAAAAAACAATAACTTCAAAAAATTTAAGAAGATACACTAACATTCTCACGTCTACACTCACGAAAACAAATTTAAAATTACGCCATGATATCTAAGAACAATCAATCTCTATTTAGGTTCGGCTAAGAACTGCCATCATTTTAAAATTTTTAAATTGGACCCACACAGTTCACGTATATCTGATTGATTTATCAGTAATTTAAATTGCATCGAGTTAGTTTCACTAATTTAAAATAAATTTATTTAAATAAATTAAAATGGTTAGGCCTTAATTCACTAACTATTATTTTTCTTCATTTAATTATTTACTTTACATGGTTGGCCTGGGTTGCCAAGTCAACAAGAAACTATTTCCTGACCAACATTTTTGACGGAATATTTTTTAATATATAATACATATAATATAAATTAAAATATAGAACTAAAACGTGGAGTTTGACTAAATAATATCTCTATCTGGTAGGCCTAGGCTATACAATTCTCATCTTCTCATTCATAAGTGCTTACTTTCTCTTCAGCTTGAAGTAGAAGGTAAATTTACACAAATGCCAAGAATTATAGTTATAGTCGTTTCAAATGACTGATTTCAAAATGATTGAATCAAGGAATGTAATTTGAAACAAACCTGATTGTTTTTTCTTCTAAAAATTAATCTACACTTATTCAGAGAGCTATAGAAGAGATGAAAGTGGAAATTCGGCCTACATGTCCCTTGACCTGGTTGCGTTTATAAAAATATTTTAAGTTTATTGGTTAGGCTAGAAAATATTTTAACAATTTTTTGTTTAAACTACTTTATTAATAAATTATTTTAAAAATGTTGTCCTCCAAATAAGTATTGTATAGGCCTACAAACACTATTATATTAACACTATCAAAAAACAACCTACAAAATTTGTAAATAATTTACAATTTTGGAGGCTTCCCCCCCCCTCCCATTGCTGGCTTCCGGGGCGTCGGTCACCTTTGCCCCCCTCACACACATGCTTGTGTGCATGGGCGCCCGCAGGTAGGGACAAGGTGGGGCACTTCCCCCCCCCTGGATGATTGGATAAAAATTTTAGTCAAAAATAGACAAAAAATGTATTAAAGTGAAGAGAAAATAAAGAGAAAGTAACTAGGCTGATGTCCTGTCCTTTCGTTCACCATACAAATACGCTACAGTAAATTAAAACTATATTAAAACATTACTAAAAAATTTTTGCCCCCCCCCTTAAAGAGAAAGTAACTAGGCTGATGTCCTGTCCTTTCGTTCACCATACAATACGCTACAGTAAATTAAAACTATATTAAAACATTACTAAAAAATTTTTGCCCCCCCCCTCTGGAAAGTTAATCGATTTTTTTGCCCCCCCCCCCAGAAAGTTTTCTGCGGGCGCCCATGCTTGTGAGCATACCTAATTGCTTCATTCTCATTCCTTTCAAATTAAGATTTAAAGTTTTTTCTCAACTTTTTTATACTTTTTATTTTTAATTTTTGATCAGTTCAGATACCTTTACCAAAGCTATCAAATAAAATTAAACTAAAATATTCTATTTTTTTTAATTGCAAAACATGTGTAAGTATACCAGTACTAATGTAGGCCTACAATGATGAGTAAATATGCCTATATTAAGTTTAATTTAGAAACAATAATGCTAAGCCGTTTCAAAGCAAAGCGTATGAAACTTTTTATTTCATTCGAATTATTGATGCACTTAAGAAGAACTTTTTGAGTTCTTACATTTATAATTTATTACAATATAGTATAAGATTGTTTAAATATTCGATACTGGGGGGGGGGGGGGGGGGGGGGGGGGCGATGACACCCTCATAATACATAATATGGATGTCAAAAAATTCTTGACCCAGGTGCGTGACGTCATTAAAATTATTTAGGTCTAAAGTCTAACGAGATGCCTAATAATTAGGCTAATGATAATTTAAATTAAATTAAGAAGTTTTAATTTATTTATGAAAAATGATTGAATTCCAATTTTCGAATTCAGTTATTTATTTATATTTAATACTATTGCTATTACGTTAGTTAAAGACCAGTTAGTCCAGTCAAATTAATAAATAATAAAGTGAATTAAATTAGTCATTAAATTTATAATTTAGAGTTTCATCTTTGTTCACTTGCTATCTTTTTTAAAAAGTAAAATATTTACATTTATAATTAACATTAAGTATAATTTTTACCAATTTTATATGTAAATCAAATGAACAAGGAATAAGTTTTTAATTTTCCTTTATATTGTAGGATGCAAATCTTTTTTTATTTTTTTTTATATATAGTTCCTGTAAGATTTTCAAAACATAGAGCGGGATGTGTAGTGTGGCCTTGACCCATGTATTTTTTTATTATCACACGTCACGTTACAGGCTCAGGAAACATGGCCGACAATGATACACCACAAAGCGAGGAACAAACTGGAAGCCGACTAATAATGCGGATAGTTTCAGAATTATTTGGAAGTCCACTAAATCTTGGATTGCTTGGTATTTGTGGTTTCCTTATTTATAAAATTATTTCTAGCAGACGGTCGACAGATTCCACACCAGTCAAAGAGCCAGAGCTTCCTCCGTTAAAAAAACAAGACTTTACATTGGAGCAGTTAAGGGAATATGATGGAAAAGGATCCGATGGTCGTGTACTAATTGCTGTTAATGGAAAAGTCTTCGATGTCACCAGAGGGAAACGATTCTATGGTCCAGGTAATTAAAAATTGAATAATAATTATTATGACGCCAAAGCCTAACAAAATATACCTGTCTGCTATCTCTTTCAAGCCTTTCAATCAAAGTGAGTCTTCTTAATCTTTCTTTGTCTTAATACTTTAAACTCCAGCCCATCATTGCCATGCCATAATTAAATATTATATTAGCCTCGCCATAGGAAAAAAGCTACCCCCCCCCCCAACTCACACACTGAGACTTTAACTGTAGTCTTTAGTAGGGCCTAAGTCAAGAGCAGGGACTGGAACAAGCTTCCAAAAGTAGATACTTTGTTCAAAAATTTAAACATTTTGTAAAAATAAACCAATGTCATAGTTGAATAGAGCTAAATTTGTACAGAATTATAACACCAAAATTATATTTTTAGCTGTTGTAGTTTTAAAGTTATGAATTTTTAAAGTACGACTTGGTTTGTCCTTTTTTAACATGGACTGCATCTCCACATTCTGTGACCTCATTCCGCCGATCGCGTCATGCGCAATGACTATATAGTTTATAGAAGGCTAAGGCATTCCCTTATCACTAAAATACTGTTTAGTGTCGATTTATTTTAAACTTTCAACTTTGGCACATGAATAATTAATTAAAGCTTTCATTGACCAATGGTTTAATAGTTTTTGCACACGGCAAACACTTATGAATGAAACTCTGAGATAGTACTACGATATAGCCGCTATGCAAGTGGCTGTGAATGGTTGCCAATGACAACGTGTTGCACACGGAAATTTCTGATCATTTATAATATGGACTCTACAGGGTTTTTAAAGCTCAAATTAAAAAGTTCCAGTTTAAATGTCTTCAAAATGCATTCTGAAACACAAGTTATCAAATATTTTGATGTATATAGTGGTAATAATTAAATATTTCTTAAGTATCTGCAACTTCCGCCATTAAAAAGGGGGCGTGGCCCACGCCATGTCGAAATAAGGCTGAGCCCCCTTATGGTGATATGGGTCACTGGGAGAAGCGTAGCGAACGTGGGACACGACCTACATCAATGAGAATTGGCACAGATATATATCAATATCTAATGCCTTACACGATTTAATATGAAAGACCTGTTCCTTTTATTTCACAAAAAATTTTGTATTTGAAGATGCCTTATATATACCAAAGATTTTCAAAATGAAGTTCGATTGAAAAAAGCAAAATAGTTGGATGGAAATGTAGGCCAAGATGTCTTCCAAATTATAAGGCCGGAAACGGAACTCAAATATATGTCCAAATAACTAATTTAATAATAAATAGACACACACATCGGAAAATTAAAAACTCGGATTTTTCGGCGCCGACGCCCATTTCCGATACAAAAAAAGTAGTAGTCTCCCTTGTTTTATCGAAGTATCTACCAAAAGTAACAGTTGAGGTGACAACACTTGACACATTTGCGTCTATTGTAGGTACTTTACTAAAAAAAAAATAAAAAAAATTGAAAATAATTTTTTTTAACAATACAGTTATTTAGAGCAAATTTCAAATTAAAAAAATGAAACCAGAATCAACTTTTTAGCTTAAGTACTTTTTGATTTTAAAAATTTTAAATTTAAAGGTGAGTTCGTTTGAGTTTGGTATTTTTTACAATGGACGAAACCTCCACAATTTGTGACCTCTTTCTGCCGATCGCATCATGCGCAGTGACTATATAGTTTATGTAAGGCAACGCATCCCCTATCACTAAAATACTGTTTAGGGTCGACTTAGTTTAAACTTTCAACTTTGGCACATGAATAATTAATTAAAGCTTTCGCTTACCAATGATTTAATAGTTTTTGCACAAAGCCAAACTCTTATGAATGAAACTCTGAGGTAGTACTACGATATAGCCATTATGCAAGTGGCTGTGAATGGTTGCCAATGACAACTTGTTGCACACGGAAAAATCTCATCATTTATAATATGGACTCTAACGTGTTTTTAGAGCTCAAATTAAAACAATCCAGTTCAAATGTCTTCAAAATGCATTCTGAAACACAAGTTATCAAATATTTTGATGTAAATAGTATTAATAATTTTATATTTCCTAAGTATCTGCAACTTCCGCCATTAAAAGGCGGCGTGGTAACATTCATCGAAATTGGGTTAAGCAAACTACCAACCCGTAGAAACATGGCGTCTCTCGTAAAACACATAGCGCTGTGAAAATTGGCATACATGTATATCAATAAATGCCTGAGATGCAGAAAAAATTTGGTTGTGCCATGTCTTTTACTTCAACTTAATTTTAATGATGAATTTGCCTTATATTCACCAAGGATTTTCTCAAAGCTGACCGTTTGTAAAAGAAACAGTAATTGATTAAAATGTAGGCCAAGATGTCCTCTAAAGCTAAAGGCCGGAAGAGGAAAACAATTTTGGGATATAGTAATTATTTTATGAATGAAATAGTACCAACATCAAAAAATTAAAATCTCTGATTTTTGCGGCGACACATATTTCCCATATAAATTTGTTAGTAGTCTCCCTTGCTTCATCGAAGTGCCTAGTCTATTGCCTCAGGCCTTCCAACCTACAGTTCATGGTACCCTTGCTGAGTAGTCCTTGCAACCAGTGAAATATCCTCTTCAATACCAGGCACAGAAACATTGTGAATCCCCTCTACATACTTAGTACATAGGAGTCAGAATGATCAATACATTAATGGCAGTCTACACATCCGGAGACTGGACAAATAGTGCGGGAGATATTCTTCCGGCAGGCATGTCACGTTACCACCGGGCGACAAGTTTGTGTTATTGTTGTGGCAGACATGTCATGTGACAAGAGTTCACCGGCAAGCAAAGAAGAAAAAGTCAGTTATCTTGGTTTAAATATCTTATAAAGCTTAACTTAGTAGCCTAAATTTAAAATATTAACCAAAGAAAATAAGATCAATACTTGCCAGTTGACTGTCAATAGATCTACTGTCAACAAAGTTTTATTTCAGACTATAAATATTGCGTGAGAAGTAGGCTGGCTACCCCAACAGCACACTGAGTTTGCCCTATATTAACTCATTCCCTCCGGCAGTGCTACTTCCGGACTTAATTTATTTTCCTGAGAAAAGGGAAGCAACTCAGTTTTGAAATCGATTTAAATTTTAAAAATATTTTTTTAAGTTGCTAAATATTATTTAATGTTAATGAATTAAGAACAGATGCAACAAAAAATGAATAAGGTTTAATATAAATATAACATTAGCGTTGAAAAAATAACGAACAATGGCCAAAAAATCGATTTTCGGCACCTCGGACGAACAAATGCTACATATAGACGCGCCGTACTAAAGCATACGTAGTTTTAAAGTGAAACAAGATAAAAACTTCCGGTTTCAAAATTAAAATCACGCAGAAATCACGCCATAGCCGGAAGTCTCGAGGGATGCGAGATTTCATTGCTATTTTGAACTAAAAAATAAGAGAGGTGTGTCGCTATGCGCCGGGACGCATTTGGACGCATAAGGAGGAACCCCCAGAGGACGCATTTAGTCGCAACCGTCGGGAATGAGTTAAGATGTAGGGTCTACTTCTTTGTGAACTTTCGAACTCCCCACCTTAATTATCTATCACCATCACTATAAAAAAAATATTTGTATCCTTTCTCTCTTGCTCTCAGTATTTCTTCCTACTAGTTCCCCCCCCAAATTCTTGAAATGAAGTGTATACTCATCGACCCCATGCATCTCTGACGTCAGTTTATGATCGACTATTAGCGTTCACGTGACAAGGCTGACTGAAAGATATCTGGCCGCCTTTGTTATGCGGTCATGTGACCAGGTCGCCGGACGAATATCTCTAGAATTATTCGTCCGGACGGCAGACATGTAAACACTTCGTACATTAATCGTGGGCCCTAAATATATAGAAGAAGGAGGAGGTGTAAATTAAGATTTAACTTTGTAGCCCTGCCCTACATTACTACATAATATAAAAATAATTTTAGTAAATGTTCAAAATCCGTGGCATTTACTTCCCACAGCTGCCATGGCAAAAGTCATGGCAACCAAGATGGTGGCTGTGAAAAAAAAAAAGTAGTGCAAACAAGCTTCTGCTAAAATGGGGAGGGTAAATAGAGAATGTACTGTTTTAGTGACTTATTAAGGCTAAGAGCAATGAAAATTAGAACAAAACCTGAAAACTTTGTGAAATAATTTCAGCCAGTACTTAAATGTACTTAAATTTGGTTTAATTTTATCCCTCAAAATATGCGGAGATAAGTGTCAACGACCTGCGGCCACCCCCCTTTCCTGGCGTAATTTCAGACCTGTATATTAATATTGTGGCCTATGAAACAACTTTATTGTATCCCTCTTAGATATGCCAAAAGTAGTGCCAATGGCCTGCGGTCGCTCCCTTCCCTCAACTAAAACATTTTTTACAGTTACACAGTGGTAGGAAAATAATCAAAATAAAGAAAAACATTACAAAATATTTTTTTAATAATGAAAGCCCAATTTAGTTTTATAGAATACACTAAAAATTCAAAAGTTGTCAGAAACATCAGTACAATAAAATAATATACCTATTTTCGAATTTGCAGGAAAATTTAATTATTTTAATTAACCACCCAATGAAATTATTATTTAAAACATTCCATAGGTGTATTAATAATTTAAAAAAAAAAGGTTTACTCTAGTAACAATCCAAGCTTAAACTGACCATTTGCTTTTAGGCTAGTCTTGGTAGTTAGCATATTTAAATGCAAACGAGTCATCACAACCAAGATGGTGAGTGTTTTAAAAAAGCTGCTAAATTTTGGAGGGGAAAGAGAGGGAATATGGAGAGAGAATTAGGAACAAAAGGTTATGATTTAATGGATTTTTTTTATTTTTAAGTACCTAAAATTTAATGAAATAACTTTTTTCCACCCTCTCCCCCCACTTAAGCATGAATCTTCAAACTTAAAATCTATGGCCTAACTTGAACCCTAAAACCATGTGTTCGAGTGCTACAGTTACACACTATGCTCTACTGAGAAAGTTGTACATTTTAATAAAAAGAATAAAATTATATTTAAAATATTCAAAACAATGAAAACTCAGGGGGGGGGGGTGTTAAAAAATCAGCCGCCATGTTGTGACATCATATATGAAAAAACTTAGCAACTTCATTGTGTCTGTTATTTAGACGACGTGTGAACTCTGCCTGACCCCTACTTAGGCTGCGTTCGTATTGGGCGTGGCTTATTCCCTTTGATCTTGGCCTTTGTTTACTACCACTACCAACTAAAAATAAATTAATATGGTCTAATAGAATTTTGTGGAAAGTTTGGGAGTGAACTAGACAGGTAAACAATGTGTAAGGCTGTTTGAGATCTTTCAGTAGGTTAGAATATAAAATCAGGATTCATTTTTGGAGCAGGGAGAGATATTTTGACTTCACACGATAATAGTGTGTTATTCTGTGTGTGAATTGTATGTCATTATAGTACCTTATTTTTGGCAAATTGTATTAACTGTATACCGGTACAAGACATACCATTACTCTGTAAGTTGATTGTAATTATATTTCTTTTATTCTGTAATTATATTGATACTTGATACATCTTATTAATTGTAATTAGCAACTTTTTTGAGTGTCGTATTTTTGCTATTGTATTCCTCATATGGTATGGTCCTTTGTTATGCACTGTTTAGAACGAGCCATAAACTTAAAATAAGAGATTAATTTCTGACTATAGAAGACAGTGCATAACAGTGTCCCTCAGATATGTGGCATGCTGCCCTAACAACCTGAAGTCACCCCCTTCATGCAGTCTTAGTTGCAGGTTTTAACATACTGTACACCAGAATTGTATACATTTTCATTTATTAGATATTTCAATATTTACTAGATAGATTGAGTTAAGTTGAAATCTGATGACAATGGAGTGTCTTGGTGTAAGGTTGAAATTAGGAAGTGACACCAGTTGAAGGTACAAGTTTATGAGATTCAATTCATCAGCAGAAGTATTTGCTTAAAGGCTATACCAGACTTTTGAAAACATTACAGGAGTTGAAACTAACAAGGACAAGTATTTTCATGTCCCTCCGCCTTTTACAACCGCAGCTTTATTACACCAACCATTCTGTCAAACAAAAGAACATAGTACACGCCAACACACTGTAGTTTTAAGAAATTGTACTTAGCGAAATCAGTGCCATGTGGTAGCATTAGGGACATTGTTACATAGAGAATTTTGTATTTTGATATTTAAAGAATACAGTGATACCAATTGTTAAAAACTTACTTCTTTGAAAGCTTATAGTTCTGCAAACATAAATTAAAGCCCTATTTAAAATGTGTATTCCAAAAATAACGTATCTTGGATAGAGACACACAGAAAAAAAAAATGCAAAATATTATATTGGCGTTTAAGCTCTAAATTCATTATTTAAAAAAATTACATCTTTTGGGGTTAAGGGATTTTGATCAAACATTCTATATTAGGGTCAAGAGATATGACCATGTCAATTATGTTGCAATCAATGTTTTTGTTTTCATTTTTAAAAATTAACTCCATTAAACACACACACATACACCACACTGTCACACTGCATTTAATATAGTAAATCAAGATGCATTAAAATACTGGTTCAGAAGTACCAGAAGGAATATTCTACCATAGAACTAAGATATTTTCTATATTTAAAAAAAAGTATTTCCAGTTTCCTTATTATTTATATTTTACGTTGCCCTTATCTCAGCCTTGGCATTCTGAAATATTTTTGTAATAATAACTTGATCAAATAGTTAAAACTAAAGGGTTTTAGGCAGCAAGACGCAGCACCAATTCTGTTTTCAGAACTTATGGAATAGTTATTTAAGTGTTACCAATTTTGTGTCTTTGAGATGGCAATGTCTTTAAAGTTTAATGTCTGTCCTGCCTCCATGTGTCACTCAGAACACAGCAAAACATTTATCAGATTTTTACAGTGCTCACAGAAAACTTTATTTGCAGGAATGGGGTAACTGCTCTTTTTGGGTAAAAAAATGTTTAGGAAAAGACATTTTAAAAAAATCACAGTTTGCTCTACAGCATGTATGATCATTCACACATGAACAACAATGCATCAAATGTAATCAGTATTTACAAATCAATTATAAGCTTTATTTAATTATATCTGATTGTTTGATAGCAAAGTGTTTTGAGAGAATCTGATTCTGAGGGAGGACAGATTAATTTTCTAGTAAAATGAGGAAGACAAAAAATAACAGGATGTAACAGTTTGGTCAAAGCAAAATGTATGCTAAGGCTACTCATATCTACAGCGGGGCATTTTAAAAATCCGTTCTCAAGTAACCAAAGATACATTTTACGACAGAGATATGACGTTGGTAATATTTTTAATTGATGATAAAAAAAAAAAAGAATTGGGGCCATAAAATATGAACACATAAAAAACTGATTTTGCTTTTAAAATGGTGAAATTGTGAGCAATGAATTTCTAATTGTCTACCCTGTGGTCTATATTGATGAAGGTTCTTTTTAAGATCCCACAAACAGAAAACCTGAAATAGGATTATATCCTTTTACTGTTATTGGCCTAAATAACACTATAAATTAATGCGGATTTGAAACTGAAAACCTCATTTGCATTGCATCACCAGCTCGCAGAGTATAGATGACATTAATTACATGCTTCATTAGCATATCCAGTAATTGTGTTACAACTCTAAATTATGCTGAAGGCACTTTTAAGGTGTGTATTTTATATTTTTAATATTTAAAAATACTTCATATTTTGTTTTGGTAATCTAAATTGGAACCTCAAAATTTAATTGAGTTCTTGCATCTCATACTGGGAGGAATTTTATATTATGCTTGCGTTACTATTGTCATTGGCTGTTTAGACATCTTCAGTGTGATGAGACAGCTTTTTATTTCTGCCCTACTTTTGATTTATTTTTTATTCTGTTTAAAACTTCAGTTCATACAGGTATCCACTCTCCAGTGTTTCATGGCTGTTATACAACTGTTATACATAGACTAGTATAGTGTCTCTTGTTAAACTACACAGATTTATTTTAGCCATTAACGTCAACGGCTAGTAGAGTGGCCTTGAAATCGACATCACTGTGTTTATGCTTTGTGTTTCAATTTATTCTCAAGAATGCCAAAAGGTGCCACAATTTCTAGAATTTCTGTACTAAAAAGTTTATATTTTATTAATAAAAAAAGCCACCCAGGTTTCTTAGTAGGCTGTCTTTCTGAGGCTTAGACTCGCCAAGACTTACTTTGAGATTGACTAAGACTTATAAAGATGTTTTTTATTATTGTGTGTATGAATTACCCTAATTTTTCTATTTTGAGGATTTTACCTTTAATTCCACTTGCTGTAAGTTCTTCTTCTTCTTTCTTTTTCTTTATTTTAAGGGCCCACGATCAATGAATTGATCATTCTGGCTCCTATGTTTCAGAGGGGTTTGCGATGTTACTGTTCATGGGTTTCAATGGGATACATCACTGGTTGCAAGGGCGACTCAGCAGTGGTGTTATGAACTGGGGGTAGGAATACATGAGGCAATAGACACAAATGTGTCTAGTGTAGCTGCCTCAACTGTTGCTTTTGGAAGCTTGTTCCAGTCCCCTAGTGTCTTCGGCAGGAATGAGGAGCTTCTGTACTTTGTTCTTGTTTTTACCATCCGGAACTGTTTGTCGTGGCTTCGTCGCAGTCTAGGGGGAAGATGAACGAGTTTCTGTTTGATTCCGGAGCAGTGCACCAGCCCATTTGTTATCTTGTACAAGATGGTGAGCCTGGATAGTCGTCGTCGTTCTTCCAATGTCGACCAGCCCAGTGTTTCCAGCATGCTGCCAACACTCGAGGTGCTTCTGTAGCGGTTCATGACAAAGCGCGCTGCCCGTCGCTGGACCGCCTCCAACCTATCGATGCTTTTCTGGGTAAATGGGTCCCAGACTGTAGAAGCGTACTCTAAAATAGGTCGGACAAAGGCTTTATAGGCTTTTTCTTTCACGCTTGAGTTGCCGATCTTCAGATTGCGCCTTAGGAACCCCAGGGTCTTGTTTGCCCGGTTGCACACACTGTTAATGTGCTCGTCCCAGCGGACCTCTCTTTGAATGGTAACACCCAAGTACTTTACGGAGGAAACTGGCTCAAGAATATGGCCATGCAGTTCGTAAGAGTGGTTTAGAGGGAATCTGCTTCTGGAGACTGACAGGGTCTGGCACTTGACGGGATGAAATTCCATGTCCCAGCTCATCTCCCACTCAGCTAACCGATTGAGGTCTTGTTGAAGCTGGCTCTGGTCAGAGCTGTTGACGATTGTTCTATATACCGCCGTGTCGTCTGCGAACAGTCTTGCTTGAGAGGTCAGCTTCTCGGGCAGATCATTGATATATGCTAGGAACAAACAAGGGCCTAGCACTGAGCCCTGGGGGACCCCTGACTTAACACCGACAAAGGAGGAGGTTTTGCCATCTACCACTACTGCCTGGCATCGGTCGCTGAGGAAGCTAGAGATCCATGTTTTAGTAATGCCTTGGATCCCATATCTATGCAGTTTGTGTAATAGCAAGCTATGGTTGACACGGTCAAACGCTTTTGAAAAGTCCAGCACAAGCACATCAGTCTGCTTGCTGTTCTCCAAGTTGGTCTTCAACTCTTCAGCAAATTCAAGGAGTTGGGTCTCGCATGATCTGTTGACTCGAAAGCCATGCTGACAGTCATTGAGTATATTATTTCTTTCCAGGTGATTCATGACCGCGCTTACGATTATGTGTTCCAATAGTTTACATACTACGCTAGTGAGGGATACAGGGCGGTAACTGGCTGGGTCGTAATGCTCTCCCTTTTTGTAGATCGGAGTTGGAACGTTGCCTATGAATAGCGACGATTGGAAGAGGATTGTTAATGCAGGAGCGATTTCATTGGCCAATTCTTTTAGCACTCGTGGTTTAATGTTGTCAGGACCACATGCCTTGGCGGCTTCTGTACTTAAATTTGCATTTTTTGTAGAAATATATTTATAAAAATTAAATTACATTTTAGTATCACTAGATTTGGTATAGTTTTTCTTTGAATACTGTTAGATGTCTTTTGTGATAGATGGTTTCTAATTTACGAGCAAACTACTAACAACACAGATTTAATTTTTATAACTTAAACGGTATGTAACACAATTTCATTAAAGAAATTTTATGGATAATACTAGGTGTTTTTTTTTTAAAAATAGAATCTATTAAAAAATCAGCATGAGCATTTATTTAAATGAGGTTGAGAAGGGTATAATAATTTTTAAAATAATTTTTTACATTTCAGGTGGCCCTTATGGGTTATTTGCAGGTCATGATGCCTCTAGAGCCTTAGCCACTTTCTCACTAGGAGAGGACGCCTTGAAGAATGAATATGATGATCTAAGTGACCTCAACAGTCTTCAAATGGAAAGTATCAGGGAATGGGAAATGCAGTTCCAAGGTATTAACTACATTGAAGAATGTTATGGAAAAATGGAAAGTAATGTTTAATTTTTTTTATAGAAAGTGAAACCTTCATTATAATATTCAAATATTTAAAAAACAATTGGTGAGCAGGTTCCAGTTCGAACTCAAGATAATTTTTCGATCTGAATTATTATTGTAAATCCAGGATCTCAAAATAGTGGATTGGCTTAATTTTTTTATTTGAATGAGTTGACCACATATCCTAAAATAATATGTAAGGTCATCAATAAATTATTTTAAAAGCGATTGAATTAAAATATTTCAATGAGATTTATAATCTGTTTTCACAGGTTTCGGGTGTAAATTAACTACAGTAGGGGTGCTTGGCCTGGGTACTAAGAACTAAAGAGTTCTAGTAATAGTTTTGTTGTTGCATAATATATCAAATTGAAAAATAAAGAGTTTGGGGGGTGGGGAATGGGAATTAAATATAACTTACTACTGTATGGTGGTTTTAATTTATGCTACTCATAAAGCAGTTTTTTTTTTTTTTTTACTGTGTCTTGCACACCCTTTGAATTGTTCGGCAAAGTTTTGCACATCACATGAAAGTAACAATGCATTTTTAGAAACTGGAGGAAAAGAAAAGGATTAGAACAAGAAAAAAAGATTAGATCAAGAAAAGGTTTAGAACAAGAAACGGATTAGAACAAGAAAGTGGAGAACTTAGAGCTTAAACTTGAGACTTATTACATAAAGTTTGATTAAAAACTAATAATAGAAACCTTTATATAACTTAATAGGCAATAATATATCCTCTGTCTTATCATCAAGTTCCTTACACCCTTGCATGCCACCATGAATCACTAGGGGGTGTGAGCAAGCAAGCCAGCCAGCTTGGGAAACCTTGTGTTAAAGGATATTTTGCATTGTAAATAAGTGGCTCCCAATCTTCTTTTTTTCAAGGTTCACAAACTCAATCTTAGCGCTGCGCTCCTCCCCCCCCCCTCCCCCCCTAAATTTTAAAAGTTAAATAATAGTAGTTTGCATGAATCCTGGTTAGAGGATCATTACACAATTAATTATCAAAGTGTAACATATTCTACTTTACTACTAGAGAATAAATGCGAATGATTTTGTTCTATTTTTTTACTTCTATCACTACATTAATAGGTTTATTTATTTAATCAAGCCATACCTCACCTTTTTGAAGTAGTGTAACAATTTAGCAGGAATTTTAGATATCTTTTGTACTTTCTGGTCATGCAGTTTTTTCAACATTTGGTTTCAATATCTTGAGACATTTGTATTTCTATTCTATATCTTTGCCTGGTGCCAAGTTTAACAACAGCACATAAACCACCTTCCACCAAACACAATTTTGGGAATGAAACATCAACCTACCTAACCACCTTCCACCAAATACAATTTTGGGAATGAAACATCAAGCCACCTAACCACCTTCCACCAAACACAATTTTGGGAATGAAACATCGACCTACCTAACCACCCTCCACCAAATATAATTTTGGGAATGAAACGTCAAGCCACCTAACCACCTTCCACCAAACACAATTTTGGGAATGAAACATCGACCTACCTAACCACCCTCCATCAAATACAATTTTGGGAATGAAACATCAACCTACCTAACCACCTTCCACCAAATACAATTTTGGGAATGAAACATCAAGCCACCTAACCACCTTCCACCAAACACAATTTTGGGAATGAAACATTGACCTACCTAATCACCTTCCACCAAATACAATTTTGGGAATGAAACATCAAGCTTCCTAACCACCTTCCACCAAATATAATTTTGGGAATGAAACGTCGACCTACCTAACAAACTTCCACCAAATACAATTATGGGAATGAAACATCGACCGACCTAACCACCTTCCACCAAATACAATTTTGGGAATGAAACATCAACCTTCCTAACCACCTTCCACCAAATACAATTTTGGGAATGAAATGTCTACCTACCTAACCACCTTCCACCAAATACAATTTTGGGAATGAAACGTCGACCTACCTAACAAACTTCCACCAAATACAATTTTGGGAATGAAACATCGACCTACCTAACAACCTTCCACCAAATACAATTTTGGGAATGAAACATCAAGCTTCCTAACCACCTTCCACCAAATACAATTTTGGGAATAAAACATCGAAGCTTCCCAACCACCTTCCACCATGCAAGATAGCTATAGAAATTTTCCTTTGGGAGTTAAAACTGTTGTTGCCATTTTTTAAACTCTTCTTCCTCTTAATATTTTAAGATGAACCACTCCTCCCGTTCATCAACTGCCTCCGTTATGAAATCAGATTGATCACCCAGTCTGTGCCAGGTGCCATTTTTCCAAAAGTGGATTCAACTTAATAGTGATTTTTGGATTGACCATCAACTGGCTCAGTTCTGAAAAGGGATTTATCACTCAGTCTGTCATTTACAATAATTTACATCAAAATAAAATCCTTAAATTGCTCAGATTATGTAGCAAATTCAAAAGGTAGCAAACTTTGAAAATAGTTGCATTGCATACCACTCTTTTCTTCTTGCTCATACTTGCTTGGAAAATTCTAAATCGAGGCTGGCAATATGGTGCTTGAACAGAGTTAATTTTTCTACCAAAGTAAGGCAGACAGTTTTGGTTTTAATAAGCTTGATCTCAGTCACCTGCAACACCAAAACATAAACAAAAACCCAAGGTTGCAGCAAGTTGTTATTGAGGCTGCACTAGTTGCAATAGAAAAGTTTTTTCACTGGAATTTCCTTGAAGAAATGTAGGGCAACACGAAATATCAACACCTTAACCCATTTCTGTTTTCATGGGTCTTGCAAATTGAACCTTCATTGATAACAAAACATTAATGAGTGAGAAAAAGTGTTTCATTTGAAAAATTGACCCATTCCAATGAAATAAAACTTATCTTTCATTTTCTAAACTTTGTATTTGTTAGTTTGTTGTTGGTCATTTGCATAAAAAGATAATTTTATTTTTGTGTCATGGTATTTCTTTGTTAAAGCTCGAGCAAAGGAATTTTCTCTCTTCTGGTTATGTGTAAAACATTATAAGATATTATGTCTTTCAGACGTCTATCCTCCTCGAAGTCTTATTTGATTCCAGCTTTCAAACAATTTCAGTTTTCATTAAAATATATAATCTTAATTAAAAATATATTCTTATATTAAATGATCTTTATTGATCCATAGAAATGGAAATTTGTTTGGATTTTATTGCACATACTGTTTTCAGATTTGAAAGTATTTTAGTTTTTGTTGTGACCCAAAATTAATCCGCAGCAAAGCATTCTTTGGTCAGATTAGCTAAGTCTCCATCATTCCCAAAATTTCCAAAGCCTTTCATTGCCGCCCCCCCCCCCCCCCCCCCCCCCCCCCCCCACCCCCCCCCCCCCAAGCTATTTCCCCACCCACTTTGAGAACCATTGGTATAAGTCATTATGATTGACGATCAATTTTAAAAATTAAGGTCTTTTAATTTGTGCTGATTACTAATTAAAAAAGCAGCTTTTCATGTTAACACGAGCAAGTGTAATATGCAAAGTGATTCTGTATGTTTCTGAGCTCATCACAGAGAGAAGCATGAAATGTCTTATGTAAACTTCACAACTGTGTTAATGTCAGATTGTAAAAGTGACTCACACACTTACTTATTTAAGGATAATTTAGTATAGACTGCAGTGTGATTAAAATATTGAGAAAAGTATATTTAGTTGCTTGTAATCTAAAGAATATTTAAAGTAGCAGCTTGTACAAGGTAATCTGAAGAATATTTAAAGTAGTAGCTTGTACAAGGTAATCTAAAGAATACTTTGTCGGAGTGCCGTCATCAGCAAACACAACAAATAACGAACATAGAGCATCCAAAAAATAGAGCTCAGCTTTGATTTTGAAGGAATGTTTAGCAAGAAACATCAAACATTGAAATCTTCATTACTCTGCTTTTTATATAATGTGCCAATGACTTTGGATTTTAAATGTCTTGATTTCAGAGAAGTATGTGTATGTTGGAAAGCTGCTGAAGCCAGGAGAACAGCCCACAGACTACAGTGACACAGAGGATGATGAAAAGACAGAAACAGAGAAGAAAGTTGAATAAAGTATTACAAATGATAGACGTGGGATGCATGGGTTTAAATTATGTTGTAAGCCAGTGTGAAAGGACAATACTAAAAGCCAGGTTGAATCACTGTGAGTTTGGTGATGGAAGGAGACGCATCTGTTGACTGATCGTGAAACATTAAGTTTCTGTAATACTGATCGTGGAACATTAATTTTCTTGAAATCATATCTGCAACGTCTGGTTTTCCAAAAACAGAACTTTCCACATTTTGTTGATTATTCCTTTTGTTAATCCTAGAGCTGTCGGATTGCCACAACTAAGATAACTTGTGAAGAATAAGATTATTATTCTTTTAAAGCTATTTTCCTTTTTGGTCATCTGAAAATGTTTATTTAAAGTCAGCGTGAACGTCAGAATGAATATTCTTTCATATTATAACTTTCAATTTATTCAGAAGTAAAAGTGAGTGAACTTTAAAATACATTACAGTATTAGAGTATAGTTTAGGCCTGTGCTCCTCAAGAGATATAATTATTCCCAATTAATGTTTTCATAAAATTTACATACCCCCCCCCCCCCCCCTATAATTTTAATAGCGTAAAGGTTAGCAGTTGTGATAAAAGTGTGTCGTGAGTGGTTTCCATTTTTTTCCCTTCTTCTATTGGGCCTCACATGTGTAGTAAAAGTGAGTGAACTTTAAAATACATTAAAGTATTAGAGTATAGTTTAGGCCTGTGCTCCTCAAAAGATATAATTATTCCCCATTAATGTTTTCATAAAATTTACATACCCCCCCCCCCCCCCCCTATAATTTTAATAGCGTAAAGGTTAGCAGTTGTGATAAAAGTGTGTCGTGAGTGGTTTCCATTTTTTTCCCTTCTTCTATTGGGCCTCACATGTGTTGCCACCAACATTTCATTAAGAAATATCTTCAACAAAGGACATAGCACAAGAACTTAGCATTTCCAATTTTTTTTTTTTTTAATAGCTATGTAATCTTCCATTAAATTAGTTAAAATTCCTCTGTTTTAGCCATTCATTCATGTCTCACTTTATGAGAACCACTGGCATAGGATGTAAGTTATTTTATAACTTATGGAATGACTTGAACTGATGTTCTTCTGCCGCGTGTAGCTGATTTATTTTAATTGTATCAAATGTGAAAAATTGATCTTCTTAAAAGACTGCCATCAGTGAACTGATATTGATATATATTGATGAAAATACTACAAATTTGTTTTTTCTTTCTAAAATACATTTATTCATGCTATAAATAAGAGGAAGCTGAATTTTCGGCTGTTTAATTCAGCAATGATAGAATCAGAACAAGTGGTACAACAACATGTCATCAGACAGTTCTAGGATTGATGCTATGCTTTTTTTAAATTACATTTTACTTTTCTACAAATATTTGTCTTCATTAAACAGGAATTCAGGCTATAAGTTATATCTACTATTTAAAAGAAGATGAAACTGTGTGCATTGTTCCATAGTGCTAATTTGATCACCACACTAATATAGTAATTGAATTTCAATTCATTTTATTTTTATTACTGCTTTCTTGCTTTTTTTTGGTCATCTTTGTCTGAAATATTGCAAATATAAATTGTGTGATAACCTAGAAGCACAGACACATAATAACCTGCAGTTTAACACTGTAAAAGGCTGGGTCTCTTTTAAATAAAATGTGTTAATAAAAGCTTGGGCAGGAGTAAAATGATGAAGAGAATGACTTGAGAGATAAGTGTTTATTATTCAAGGCCAATAACCTGTGACATTCAAGGCCAATAACCTGTGGCATTCAAGTTGATTTACCCATGGCATTGCTTGTACAAAGTTTACTGTATGGCTCTATAAAAATTATTTTTAACAGACTTTCCTTGTATTGCAGAGACCACAATATTATTATACAGAAAATTTTAAAGATAGGTCTTGATTATTGTTTTGTTATCTTGTCCATATTTGTACATATGGTGACCTGTTGCCAATAATTAATGCTTTAAAAATGTTTATAGAAACATAAATGAGAAAAGAAAAAAAAATTCAACTCAAAATGTTTATGTCATTGTCTTTGTATCCAAACATTCAGTAATAAATGATCTTATAGAAAACACATAAGTGTTTGTTGTCTTGGTTTGAATTACATTTTCAAAGATATTGATAATACTAATAGGACTAGGACAACAAATCACATTTTGAACTTGGAATTTTTTTATCATGAAAGCAGGCGTGCACAGCTCAAATTGTTAGGTGGGCCGTAATACTTTATGTAAAACCTTGTGCAGGCCAAAAGGAAATAGGACAGGACTTGTGTAGGCCAAAAGGAAGTAGGACAGGACTTGTGTGGGCCAAAAGGAAGTAGGACAGGACTTGTGCGGGCCAAAAGGAAGTAGGACAGGACTTGTGTGGGCCAAAAGGAAGTAGGACAGGACCTGTGTGGGGCAAAAGGAAGTAGGACAGGACCTGTGGGCCAAAAGGAAGTAGGACAGGACTTGTGTGGGCCAAAAGGAAGTAGGACAGGACCTGTGTGGGCCAAAAGGAAGTAGGACAGGACCTGTGTGGGGCAAAAGGAAGTAGGACAGGACCTGTGTGGGCCAAAAGGAAGTAGGACAGAACCTGTGTGGGCCAAAAGGAAGTAGGACAGGACTTGTGTGGGGCAAAAGGAAGTAGGACAGGACCTGTGTGGGGCAAAAGGAAGTAGGACAGGACTTGTGTGGGGCAAAAGGAAGTAGGACAGGACTTGTGTTGGCCAAAAGGAAGTAGGACAGGACTTGTGTGGGCCAAAAGGAAGTAGGACAGGACTTGTGTGGGCCAAAACAACATAGGATAGGGGTGAAAGCTATTGAGAATAAAATAAGAAATAAAGAATATTTGGTTACTTGGTGGGCCACAGAGTGGGTGCTTGTGGGCCACAGAGTGGGTGCTGGTGGTCCGTTAGGTATTAAACATTATGATTTTGATGGTAATGCTGGACCTTTCACAACAGCACCACAAATTCTTCAATGGCTCTTGGAAGACTGGCAGATGAGTTCAGTTTAACAAAGGAGTATAGCAAATGTTGACATGAAGTATGATGTCAATGAACTGCTAACCTTTTACCCTTCATGCCACTCTTCCCCAACCTGTCGTCACAAAGTTAGACCATCCTCAAATATTGAATAAACACCCACACACACACAAATTCCAACTTTTAAAAAATTCTTGTTTGAAATCACTTAGTTCTTTCTAGCTCTAACTCTAAATGAGTTATTTGTGCAGCCACGGTGTAACGAACATTAAGAAAGGTTTGTGATGAAATGTTAATAGAAAATACACAGAAATAAATAGAAATCATGGCTTTCACAGACTTATAGGTGACAGTAAATGAATAGTGGCACAAGTTATATTAAGACTTATAGGTGACAGTAAATGAATAGTGGCACAAGTTATATTAAAACTTATAGGTGACAGTAAATGAATAGTGGCCGACGTTATATTAAATATTAAGACTTGGGGGGGGGGGGGGGGGGGGGGGGGGGGGGATCGGGGATCCGTACAATGAAACGAATGTTTCTGCTTCACGCCATCTAGGCGACAGCTGGCTTTATTAGAGGTGGGCCCACTACTAATCTATAAATAACCGGCCAATCAATGGCGGCGGAAAGACATGAACGTCCAGTCTCTTGACAAAACATTAATTCAATTAATACACTTTATCAATCAGAATCCCATGTATTGTTAACTTCTGGGAATTTAATTTTGCGCGCCTACTGAACACAGTGTTAAAAACCATACTCATATATTAAATATATATACAAAATATTATTTGTAATTAGAAACTCACAAATGTGTGTATACGGTACATGTAAGTGTAAGCCCGCAAATCAACCCCCCTCCCCCACCCCCTTTTTGTTTCTTTTAGACAACACATTATCAAAAAGAAACAAAAAAATGGGGAGGGGTGGTACAGGGGCATTTAAAATGCATCTATCAGCGCAAGAATTATGCCACCAGGGCTAGCTTATAACACCAGCCCCAGTTTATCAGTTTATGGCATTACCGAGGAGGAGAAGGGTTTGTTTGCTTTTGGCCCCACCCAGCTACGGCTCACACCTGAAGTCCAAGTGTATCTACAAAAATTAAAGTTACAGGAATATAAAATAGTTGTCATTTCAAGAAAAACCACACATCTTAATTACGAACACCCAGTGTCATTTTATCTGGGTTGGTTGGGGGGGAGGGGGTAATTCGAGGGCACCGATGGCTCCTGATCGAAAAGAAGAGAGATCTGGGGCTCGCTATCACTATCATGTATAAAAGTTTGATATGTCTTTTATGGATATTTTAAATATATAAATATCAACTGCAATCGCAGCAAATAGAGTCATTGGCGTAGTTAGGATTGGTGCATGGGCGCCCGCAGGTAGGGGCAAGGGGGCACTCCCCCCCCCCTGGATTGATTGGATACAAATTTTTAGACAAAAATAGACACAAAATTTATTAAAGTAAAGAAAATAAAGAGAAAGTAACTAAGCTGATGTCATGTCCGTTCGTTCACCATACAAATACGCTACAGTAAATTAAAAC